GCGCGTGTGTGTGTGTGTATGTCTGTGTATGTCTGTGTTTGTATATATACATATAAATATATATATATATATATATATATGGGTGTGTCTGTCTCTATGTCTGTGTGTCCATGTGTGCGCGTGTGCATGTATTTGTGTGTGTACCTGTCTGTGTATTTGTGTATATAAGTTTATATGTTTTTACGTATGTATGTATGTATGTATTTGAGTGTGTATGTGTTTGTGAGAGTGTGTAAGCGCGCGTGTGGACGTGTTTGTGTTTTTGTGTGTAGTATGTTCTGTATGTCATATACATACATATGTATGTATGCGTGTATGTATTTGACGACGGTGGTTGTTATCTGTGTATATATGTGTGTATGTTTGATAGTGTGATAGTATAAGTTTTGTGTACACCTCCATATATGAGTAGCTATGTGTGGTAACGTTCACGAAAATGTATATATAGCAATTGTAAAACGGGACAAATGAGCAACACATGTAACATATCATACACTGATAGTATGTTACTAGGAGATTCTCATACTTTCAACCATATTATTACCTTCTTCCACCTCCCGGAAGCCACTGCACAGTCAAACTGGGCCATTCTAGTGCATGGGTTAAGACCATGTCATACAGGGAAGGCGAGTTCTTCTTCCATATTTTATATTCCTCGTTTATAATCTTCTCCTCTAGGACCGGATCGATAGTGTTGTCATTCTTGAGCATCTTTGCATGTATCAACGTTTAACGTACCCAGTCTGACCACCTTGTGCACACCTTAGAACCTAGTTTTTGAAAGTATATTCATAGTTCGCCTGTCGTAATATATAGCCATATTCTGAATTCTCCAGCTTTGAGAGGAAACCGCGAAAATATGCTGAGTATAGAAAGCCGGATGGAATGTGTACCAGAGTATGACTCACCATTTTTGGAACGTATGTATTTCTGGAAAAAACAAAAATCACTATCTCGCACATCAGTCCGTGACTCCGCGGGTACTTTAAAATACAAATATCACGCAGATAAATACAGAGTACGTTAATAGATATCTCGAAGTAGAACAGTATCCAGTATTCATCTGCAGTTGTCGCATGGTTGTGGAGAGCTACACACACTGCAATATACACTAATAAACGGTCGATACAATGGAAGAACAGCAGGTATGAAATACGACTAGATAGGTACTATTTTAGAATCATAGAACAGAGCCTATACGGTATTGTTAGTCCAAGCAGGTGATAGTGTTGAGCCTACGTAAAACCGCTTGCTGTATAGGACACTGCCCATGCAAATTCCCGCGGCTTACGGATCAGCTCGATTCAATTCTATGATTTAGACATGCACGCAACCATATGAATATTAAGTTCAACTGAACCTACACACTCGCGCATATTACGTCCAATATACACACATTG